TATTTTGACCCGGGCTAGTCTGCTGTGTGATTCAAGCGTACAACGCGTCATCGTGCATGGTCCCTGCGTATAAGAACCACCCCCACCAACCCATGGAACATCACAACACGTGCTTCAACTCGCACCTTGCGAAAGGACGTATCAAGACAGAACATTGCATTGGTATGTTAAAAGTTCGTTTTCTGTATCTGAAACGAATGCGGAATATAATGGACGGAAAACCAGCAATGGTTAGCATTATACGAACAATTATCGCGGCCTCCATCCTGCACAACATGTTGGTCACCGAGCACGACTCTGTGCCAGCCTCGTGGATCGAACTACAGATCAACTGCAAATGTAACGCTGATTTGCATGGATGGTGGGTTAGTTTCCCATGAACAATTGCTGAAACCCAAGTTGAAAACAGTGCGAGTGATCCCACGAACAAGCGTTAGAATGTGTTGACACAAGTCCTCCAAGATACAAAGTAACCATTTTAACTTCCAAATGTACGAGGCAACCAAATTTTGTTTTGTAACATGGAAAAGCTATCGCAATACAGGGGGCGACGGATTGTTATAATTCGAGCTGGGATTCTAGAAAGATCGAAGCGCGCGAAGAGTTTCGCGCGCTTTCACGATTTTTGAATCTGCGCTCTATGGAAGAGGCCATCCCTGCACCACAAACTCCGGTACATCTCTCTGTTTAGTACGAATGACCACTAACATGACGTACAGCCACCCAGACGTGGCCCCTACAAGCGAATACCACTCTCTGCCAAGAGACGTGTGGTGGCAGCGCACGATGCAGGACAAGACTGGAAGTCTGTTGCTCGCGCCAACGGAATCAACGAGTCCACCGCAAAAGGTTGGCTCATGCTGGACTCTTTGACACCAAAACAACGCGGTAACTTACGTATCATACACATTCCCTTTTCATATGTAAGATCAGGTGGCTACAAACTACGAAAGCTGTCGCACCAGCTCGTGGACACAATGGAGGCATGGGTGGAGTTTGACTGCCAAATCACTCTCGCCGAGCTCAAAGCACGCATTCAAGTGGACTACGATATCGTCATCTCGGAAACGAGTCTACACCGTGCGCTGGAGGAGCGTGTCTTCACCTACAAAGACCTCCATTACGAGCTACTGCAGCTCAACGATGAAAGTTTCAAAAACAAACGTTCGGAATACGTTCAACAACTACGTGAACACATCATTCAAGGCAAAGTTCCGATCTGGATTGATGAAACCAACTTCAACCTCTTCACCTTCCGAACGAAGGGACGATCAAAGAAGAACACACGGGCGAAGTTTGTTCGTGGATGCTCTCAGAAGGGGAAA